AATATAAGTAGATCCTTCGAGAATGCATTGTATACTTTGAAAGAAATCGTAATCAGCTTTCCCTTTGCGCAGCGTTTCATCAGTGTTTCGAAATCATAAATCGAAAAGCTGCATCCGCGAAACCATTCCTCATTGGCTGATACACTGGAAACTTTCCGGAGATTGCCGAAGGGAAATAAGCATTTGCTCAAGCATTTGCTTCGAATAAGCAAGCCTTCAGATGTCGCTTTTCGAATAAGCAAACCTTAAGTTCGGACTGTGAATACATGAGGTCTTGAGGCCACCTTATTCGAATAAGGCGAACTTGGTCAAGCAATTGCTCAAGCAATTGCTTGAGCACGGACTGTGAATACCGGCCATAGTCTGTTTTATTATCAATAAGATATGGAGTTTCAAAGTATAACGAGCAATGATTCAGATGGCGCTGCAATCAGCCAGTGTACAGCAGGTTCAGGAGATTTTGTTAATCATTCTAGAATGAGAAAGATAGAAAAAAGTATCAGTCCATCTGATCTGAGAAAGAAATCCAATATCGACGATCTAGACAAAGCCATCTTGGCCAACGAAAGAGGAAAGTCAGCCAGTGTGACGCAGCAAGTAAGCGAACTAATAGAGACAGCGAAAAGAAGTAAAGATCATAAGCTTAAATTTATAGAATCATCTGATTTAAATAAAGATAAGAGTGAGAAAATAAAAGAAGAAGACATTTCTTCCATCCCGAAAGGGCCTAACTGGATAAGGGGGTCAAATGTGCCCTTGAGTCGAATGAAACGCCGTTTGCGTCATTCGACAGCTTATCAAAAAAGAAACATTCACTCCAATTTTCAACCCTATATCTCAACCAGGGGGGTAGTAATCGGGAAAATTCGAAAAATCAGTTTTTTGAGGTTTTCCCTTATTTAGCGCCTCGCGAAAAATCTGAGAAAATTCTGACATGTTCGTAGCAGAGTTCGAGAATTTTTTCAGATTTTTCCCTTGCAAAATGTAGCCGTGAAAAATAAAAGAATGTTACAAATAATTTTTGCACATAGAAATCTTGAGACGACTAGATTTATATTTTTATGGTAGATGCGTATTGGCGCGAGGATTGTTCATGAATTTTTTAAGATTTTTAGGATTGGTGCGTCAATGTGAAAAAAATCAAGAACTATATATATCTCATGTTCAAGTACAGATACGGAAGACACGTTTCCAACGGCGGCGGCAGCGTAGTGGCGAAGACTCGAGAACAGTAATCGCTGCGTACTTTTTTGTGGTAGGTTCGCGTCTTGTCACCGACCATATTTTTTTTATAACATATATATATTTTTCTCACAGTTATTGTTTATTGAGCACAGTTCATTATTTAAACAGCATTTGTCAATTGTTTAAAAATATTTTAACAATGAGCAGGTGATGTGAGACGGAGACGGAACCCGAAGGTTTAGCCTTGCCCTCCGAGGGCGGGCGTAGCTCTCGCGCTTGGAGACGTAGCTCCTCTCTGAAGGCGGAGAGCCGACCGTCAATGAGGACGCCGATTTTTTGTAGGAGGGGATCCTCGGCGTCCTCTACTTTCACCACCCTGGGCTTCGCCCTCGTTCACCGGGGGAGTAAAACTTCCCCTGCCAGCGGTGGGAGCGGGCCCATGTCCCCACTCCTCGATGGAGTGGGAGCGGGGAAAACCCTCGGGGCGGCTTTCAGCCGCACCACCTCTGCGGTCAGCGCCTCGACCTGCTTTTTAAGCTCGGCCACCTGCTCGCGGAGGACAGCAACTCTCGAGGTAGGCGGAGGAGCCCGTTGTAACGGCCCTCATCGCGACCTCCACCGCAGCCGCCCTTGTAGTACGGGCGGCCAGGCGAAGGTCTCGGACAAAACCTCCCTTGAGCTACTTGCTCCTGTCCGAGACCTACTCCACCACCTTCATTTCCTCCAGAATTCTGGAGGTAATGTCGGCGGTGGGACACTACATCGTGTCTTCCCTCAGCTCCGACTCTGAGGGCAAACGCTCTTTACTCCGGGTAACTGACGGTTGAACTGTCGGATCCCGGACCTCCCGTTCAGCTGTAAGCTCCAGCTCCTCGCGCTGGGCCTACAGCAGTACAGGCCCCGTCCCGGCCGCAGCCGACAAGGCCCCACCCTCCACAGTGTTTCCACCGCCTGCGCATGTGATCGGGGCCGACGATACCCACTCTCGTTCGATTGCTGCCTTCCCGCAGGAGGCAGCTTCAAAATCGAGGAATCGTCCTCGGTGGCACCCGCACGTCTGCGGGCACGCCACCGGCCACATCACCCTCTGCCGCAAGCAGCATTGGATAAGTGCTCGTTCGATATGACAACTCTCCACGGCGGTGGAGCGCGAACGCCACAACACGCCGCAGCCAGTCGCCCAGGGCCGTCACCGCTGCAGTCAGACTTACATCGCGACGGCCGGTCAGCCCTAGTGGCCGTTCCACCGCAGTCACCTGGCAACCGGACGAGCGTCATTTTTCTGGGTCAACTCCAGCCCGGGCCTCACATAGATCTCGGCAAGATATTACTGAGATTCGGAGGCCCAGCAATAGCTCTTCAAGGGCCGAGTCCCGACAACCGGCCTTTCCTCCGTCGAGAATCGTTCGAAGGCCGGCTGTGTTTCGATGTTCGTTCGATATGCTGCCTTCCGGCAGAAAAGGCAGCTTCGACGTGAGATTCAATCTTCGGCGCTACACGAACGTGCATACCACCGGACATACCATATTCGGCCGCGTAGCGACTTTGGGTGGCAATTCGTTCGACCGCTCACCACGGCAGTCAGACCCGAGGATCAGACATACCGCGACCGGCCGCCTACGGATAACCGTCTCACATCGGCACTCTGGCGAGACCAGACGAGCTTCGTATTCGTGTGCTCAGACCCAGGCCCACATTGTTCTCGGTAAAATCGTTCCCGAAAACCGCAGGCCAGGATCGAGCCCCTGCGACCGGCCCCTTCCCAATCGAGAATCGTTCGATGGCCGGTTGTGTTTTGGTCCGCGGAAGGGCCTCAGCCCTCCTACTTGGCGTTGCAAGCTTTCCCCTATCCGCCACCCGCCAACGGGTTGGGGTTTAACATCTCCCCCTTCTCGAAGTTCCGCAGGCGAGCGACCGCCAGACTCACGCAGGCCATGGGTGTCGGACGCAGGCCCCAACTATCGACTCCGCAGGCCATGATCAACGCATCATGGGCGGTCGATAGTCGGGAAAAATGGGCCTGTTCCTAGTCCATGGGCGGTCGATGGTAGCCTCGCACAGGCCAAGGTCGCTCAAAGAGCTTCCACGGGCGAACTAGCCGCTTGCCTCCCGCAGGCGCAGTCACAAGAGGTCACGACGCCTATTGCTGCGCAGGACTCACGCAAGCCATTAGGAGGCGTGACTCGTCACGCGCACCCGCCGGTAAGGATCGACCTCGGCGGGGCGCGTACGCCACCCATGGGCGGTCTACTGACAGCAACGCCGCGATCTACACCTGCGGGAGGACAATTAGCAGCATTCTCGCACAAGCGGCCAAGTGCCCGTCTCGTGCACGCATCAGACGCTGAACACAGGAGGCCATCGCTTTCGACTCACGCAGGCCACGAGGGGGTGAAACTCGTGGGCGGTCTACTGACAGCGGCTTATGCCTGTGAGCCGCACTTGTGGGCGGTCAAGCCAATAGGTTCGCAGGCGGCCGGCAGGGTGGCTCACGCAGGCCACGGGGAAAGAGAAGGACGTGGAAATCCACAGTTCTCGACTCACGCTGGCCATGACCATGCGTCACCGTGCTATGACGCATCGAGGTAGATCATGGGCGGTCTACTGGCTGTGGCACCGACGTCGACACCTGTGGGCGGCCATTTCCCAGCCGACACACGTTAGCCACGGACACTCCGATAAGTCCCGTGGAGTCACCCCAGACAGAGCCGCTCCTGCCTGGGGAACCCTAATACCATCTGGGGGTTGGGAGGTACCCAGGGGTTGGCCGCTAGAGACTAACCCGCCTGCCATGCCTCGGTGCATCCACCGAGACGCGCCACCTCGCCACGTACCGCAGCTTGAGGCTAGGGATTTTTTATAGAGGTTTACTCCTCGCGGGCCAGCCGGTTAAGGCAAGCCCCCCGCTCCTGCGAGACATGACCAGAGGGCTACGGTATGTGTGTGTTTGGTCCGCGGGAGGTATTTTATTTCCCTCCTACCCTCTGCACCGAAGGTCCGGCCCGAAGGCCGGGCCACCGGTGCAGCGAGCCTTCCCCTACCCGTCACCTGGAGACGCGCCACGTCGGGGTTCTCTCCCCTCCCACCTGACAAACCGCCAGGCAGGTCCATGGGTCCAAAAGGCCTTCACTAACCCTAACCCGTTCTTAACCCTGATCCTACTCACCGTTTCCTCGTATACTTCCATTACTCTGTCCCTCAGTCCCTCCCTTACTCCTCTCTTTCCTAATGCCTCCCCTAAGACTGCCCTGTCTACCGTGTCAAATGCTGCCTTCAAGTCCACAAACATCGCCACCATTTTCCTTGTTTCTCTTCTTATTCTGTCGTTCACCACATAATTCAGGGCAGAAATATTGTCTATTGTGCCCATCCTTCTCCTAAAACCGGCCTCATTCCCCGATATTATTCCTTTCTCCTCCACTTCCTTCTCCAGTCTCGTAGCCAGCACCGATGCGTACACCTTGTACAGTGTCAGCATCAGTGTAACTCCCCTATATTCCTCTACTCTTAACCCCATTCCCTTCTTCACGATCGGCACTATTATCCCTTCCTTCCACGCCTCCGGCCATCCCTCCCCTCTCCACACTCTCCTACAGATTTCCCAGTCCTTTCTGCTCCAAATTTTTATACTTCATTCGGTACATCATCCACCCCCATTGCCTTTCCCTCTTTCAACCTCCTCACCGCCTCTCTTGCCTCCTCCAATATTAACTCCTCTTCCTCCCCTCTTCTCCCTTCCCGTACCCCCAATCTCACCCTCCTCCCTACACCCCCTAATAGTCTAAGTATTCCCTCCACGTTCGTAATAGTCTAAGTATTTGCCTCTCCCGTTCCTTCTCTTTTTTCCTCTCGCACAATTCTTTGTACCCTTTCCTTTCCTTTCTGTATTCTTCTCCTGTCCCCCCTCTTTCTCTATTTCCGTAACTTCGCTCTCACCTCCGCTTTCTTCACCCTGCATTCCTCGTCCCACCACGTCTCCCTCCTCTTTCCTCCCTCCCATCCTCCTCCCATCTCGCTCCTCCGCATTTCTTCCTTTATTATCTCCACCGCCTCTTTCACCATCTCCTGTATCCCCTCTCCCTCCACTCTCTTCCCTGCCATCCCCTTTTTTAATACCTCCTTCATCTTTTGCGACCAGCATCCACTCCCTACATTTTTCTCTCTTTTCTCCTCCTTTCTCCTCACCCCCTTACCGCTTCTAACCGTCACTATCAGTGGGTGGTGGTCAGATTCTATCCTTTCCCCCACCTCCATCCTTTCTATCTCCACTCTCGTATTCTACTCCATTATCGCATAATCTGTTACGGTCTCCGCTATCCCACCTGTATGTGAATTCCCCCTCCTCGTCCCCCTCAACATCTACATTCAAAATCCCCCATCCTACCTCCTCTACCAATTTGATCAATTTCCTTCCCTCGCTGTTCACCTTACTATATTTTTGGATCTTCTCTCCCCTTCTTCTTCCGGCCCCCTTACTTTCCCTCCTTCCCTCCCTATCCTCGCGTTAAAATCGTCCCGTATGATTACCCTCTCCTCCCCTGTCCGCGTCTCCATCCATCCTCTCAGTTCCTCCTGCTTCCTGTCCATGTCCCGATTTACATACACCGCTACCACCCTCCACCCCCCTCTCCCGCTCTTACTTCTCTTGCCATCAACCCCTCCACTTCTTTTTCTTCTACCTTTTCCTCCTTCGCCATCTCCTCTCTCACCCCCATTAACATCCCCCCTATTGCCCTTCTTTTCTTGTTCATTCTCTTCGCCCACTGCTTACTCCATCTGTATCCCTTCGGCAGCCTGTTCGCTATTGTTCCCCATCTCTTCTCCTCCAGCCAGGTCTCAATCAGCGGTATCACCTTCCATTCTCCTATCTCCTTCCAAAATTCTTTATTTATTATATAATATCCAGAAACCTATTCTCCAACTGCCCCCATCGCCTCTCCCCTCTTCCTTCCTGCTGCCTCTTCTCCCCCTCTGTCCGCCTCGTTTTTTGCATTCCTCTCCACTTCCTCACCCCCGACTATTCTCACTCCCTTCCCCTCTTCCCCCCCTGCCCGTTGCTCCCCAACTCTCCTCTCCTCCGGCCATTCTCTCCCCCATCTGCCCCTCACTGTCTCCCGCTCCCCGTCCCACACCCACACTTTTCCCTCCACCATGATCCTCCCCAGCCCCACCCTCACCTGTCTCCCTTTCCTCCTCTCCTATCCTTCACAGCTTCCATTGAATCCTTCTCTCCTCCCAAGTTAAGTCCTCTTCTACTCTCTCCTTCCTCCCCCGCAACTTCCACTTGTTTCTCATCACTTCGTCTTTCTTCCCTGCACTCTCCAGCCTTATTTCTATCATCCTCCCCCTTCCCCCTTCCCCACTCCCCAACTCTCCTCAACTCCCTTGCTCCTTCTATCCCTCCCTTCACTCTGATCCTTGCCATCAGCCTTTCCACTACCTGCTCTGCTGTTCCCTCCGCCTCTTTTCTCCGTTTCTTTTTACCTCCTTTTCCTTTTTCTCTAACTTGTTCTCTGTCTCCTTCAGCCTCTTTTCCATCCCCTCTTCCCATCCCACCTCACTCCGTCCTCCCTTCGTCTCTCCTCCCTCTCTTCCTCTCTCCTTTTCCAAATTCACTACGCTCTTTGACATCTCCTCCATCCTCCTCCTCGCCCCCTCTAACTCTCTCAGCTTTCCTTCCGCCTCTCCTAACCTTTCCTCCATCCTCTCTTTCTCTTTCCTCCATCTTTCCTCTCCTCTTCTCATGTCCTCCCTTAACTTTCCAACCTCCGCTCCCACCGCCGCCATCCTCTCTTTTAGCTCTCCCATGTCCTTTCTCGTTTCTTTCCGCCATTCCCTCCATTCTCTCAACAATTCCTCCACGTTCCCTTCCCCCCCAACCTTACCCTCCGGCGATCTCACCACCCTTTTGCTTTTCCTAAACATCCACTCCTCCTCCTGCTCCACCTGTGTAGCGACCCGGCGTGGTCAAGCTGGGAGAGACTGATTTAATTAAAACACATTTACTTTGCTCACACAAATGTTGTACGTTTTATTCTTTGGTTCTATCTTTTAAGTCTTAAATTGCACAGGTCACTAACGGCGTGGCTCTTTGTAGCTTCAGGTACAAGCGAGGAAAGGAAGAGAAGAAGTACGCACGTTCGCGTGTTCTTAAAAACTAAGCTTACAAACTAGCGCGCTTAAAACTAACTATACTAATATAACTATAAGACTAGATGCTACGCGTAGGGAATTTTTCTCGCTATGTGGCAAGGCGCCACACCTGCTCTTCCTCCTCCGCCATCTGCCTTTTCCTTTTCCAGAGCTCGGTCAGGTCCCCATAGCTCCCTCCCAAGTCTCCCCTCTCCCTAATCAACATTTCCGCGTTCGTCTTCCTGCCCCTTTTCTTCGCCTCTTCATCTCCCCTCTCCGCTTTTTCCTCCCTTCTTTCCATACTCCTCTTTTCCTTTTCTTCCTCTCCTTCCTTCTACTTCACTTTTCCCTTTTTCTCCGCTCCACCTGCCCCTTCAACCTCCTCTCCAACCTCTCGTTTCCTAACCCTCTTCCTTTCTCCGTTTCCAACCTGCTCGACCTCGCTCTCTAGTCTACTCCCTTCTCTACTGTCGCCGGTAAGCTATCTTCCTCTCTCTACTCGTCTCACCCTGCTACCGTCCGATGTCGCCACCGTCCCTACTTTCCTATCCCCGCTCCTCCCTCTCCCACCTATCTATCTCCCCCCTTCCTTTCACCCCTCTCCCTAACGCTCGCTTTCTCCTGTCGACAGGGATCCCTAACCTCATTCCGCTTCTTTCCAACCATTTCCCTTTCCACTCCCTGCACTTTCCTACCTCACGACTTCACAAAATTCACGCTTTCTCCACTCACTCCGGAAACGGAAGTCCCTAATCTGCGAAAATAATTTATTTATATTTATTTAAATTAAATATATAAATTATTTATTAATTATAGTCCT